CCATCATCATCATCATCATCATCATCATCATCATCATCATCATCATCATCATCGGGACACCGACGGGACACCGGCGGGACACCGCGCCCCACCGGCCCCCGGAAAGGAAACATTTGGTCCGGCCGCGCCTCAGCCGGAGGAGACTTTCTTTTCGCCCGTTCACGCAGCTTCGCCTCGCCCGCACGCACGGCACGCACGAACACGAAACCGAAACCGATTTCCCGGTAGGGGGGCTCTCCGTTCCACTTCGATCGCACCCCCTCACCTCCGATCTACAGCCATTCTACGCATGTTCCGTAGATTCAACGAGGCAATCAGTTCTGGGGTAACTCAATTCTGTAGTCTCCTACTCGACACCTCCCCCCCTGCCCATGCTCAGATCAGATCTTGGCTGCTTATGGCGGTTGGTTTCTGGCGACTGGATCATCCGCACCCGATGTTGTCCTCGTCTTGGCTTCGTCGTGCCTGGGGAGAGGGCGCGGTCGAGATCGAAGGCTGCCTTCCCTGCCTGCCTTCCGTGGCCCTGGGGCCTCCCAGCCGGGGGCTCCCCGCCGCCTCGGCCGGAGCGGCGTCGCAGACGGGGTGGCCCCACGGGGGGGGGTCCCAGTTCGGGTATAGCCAGTGCCCCGGGCAAGGGGACCCGGTTAGTGGTAGGGCCCTGGGGCCCCTCAATGGGCCAGATTCACTAAGCCAGGTTTGCCGTAACTGGTGTTTTTCGGGTGACGGCAGTTCCGGTTAGCGGAACGGGGCAAAGGGGGCACCCCCCGGTACACATCCCTAAACCAGGTTCCAATAAACCCAGTTTTGCCAACGCCCGACCAGTGGCGCGTGTGAGCGAATTGTCGGCAACGCTCAGAGGGTTAGTGGGGGGGTAGGGGGGGGAGGGCTTTTTGGAAGGAGGCTGCTTCTGAGAAGGCACGGGCCTCATCTGCAAATGTGGGGCTGGCTCCCTCGAAGAAGCGGCATCCTTCTAAGAAGCCTTCCCCCTCTCCCTATAGACCCCTTTGGGCCGGACGAAAGGGGGGGAAAGGGAAAGGGGGGGGGGACGAAATCTGCTGCATGCAGCTGGTTTCAGCCCCACCGAGGGGCCCATTCCTCGATACATGGGCGCCTCCGGCGCCGGGAGGCGCCGGGAAACTCAGCTACGTGAGCTGATTCTCCCCCCCCTTTGCTATTCCCCCCTTTCGCCCGGCCCGATAGACCCCTTGTGCGCGCCGCTGGAGCGAGTGTGAGCGGATGTGGGCCACGCGGTAGAGCCGCCCATGTCTGAACACTTCCGTGCCTCATAATCATGGGCGAGGTCTGCTTCTGGGGGGGCCCAACGGGCTTCGTCCCACAGGATGGCGGCGGGGTCTCGACTTTGGCCCTCTACGTCAAGCGATATGCTTCTGGACGTCTAGAATTTGATGCGGTGGCACCGCTCTTTGGAGGGGCGTTTCGGACGCGGTTGCCGCCCCCCCCCCCCCCCGACATGGTGAGATTTGGGCCAGCCCTCCTCCGAGGCGTCAGGATCTCGTCGGCGGTCGAAGAGCGGCATGGCATCAACCTGCCGCGACCGGGGTCGCCTGTCGCAACGTGGCTCGGAAGTTTATATCGGGGGAGCGTAAGACCCAGGTTTGCCAGGACTCGGGTTCGCCATCGTTTTTTGACGACCGCGCCTCGGATTTTGACGAGGAGGAGTTTCGTGGGATGTCTGCAGCGGGAGGCCTCGTCAAAATGCAGGCTCGGCCTCGTCATTTTTTTGACGACCTCGTAGGGGATTTCCGAGTCCCCTGTACCCAGGTCTTGCGTCTCCCCGATTATACCCCTACATTGGCAGATGGTGTATAAACTTTCCAGCCGCACTGGGACAGGCGCTCCCGATCGCGGAGCAATCTATCTTGCACCGGTCTTCACCTTTTTTCTGGGCGCGCGCAACTGGGGGTCAGCGCGAACAACGGGTCAGCCAATCCCCTACAGGCCCTCTATGGCCGACACCAGGTTGGGGACCTGTGAAGGGCCGACTCCCCTGCGCATCCGCCCAGGGCTCGCGACATGGCCTTGGCTGACCCGCAGTAGCGATGACCTGACCTGGGGTAGGGCGTCCCCTGCAGGAGGGAGAGTAGGAGGATGGGGGAGGAGGAGGAGGAGGAGGAGGAGGAGGAGGAGGAGGAGGAGGAGGAGGAGGAGGAGGAGGAGCAAGCAAGCAAGCAAGACCTGGGCAGCAAGTGTCACACGCTGTCGAGACTCGCATCTGTGTGCGAGTGCGCCGTAGCTTTGACGAGTGCTGCTGGTGAGATCAACGCACAACTCGGGCAAGCCTGTGGGACCATTTAGTCCAATTCGGACCCGTGAGGCCCACGTCGGCCCGAGGGCGAACCACACGTGATTCCCATTAGTCACTTGGAAGAGGCGTAGCGCACTTGGGCCCATAACCTCCCCTGGTGGCTGGAGTGTGGGGGGAGGCCCCGAAAATGATTCGAGGCTCCAGGACAAAAATAAAAATTGACACTCACGACACCGCGGCAATGCTCACTCCCGTGATGCAGTAGAGGTCATTCTGCCCACGCGCACGGGTGCCTGCCATTCGGCAGCCGCATCGGGCCGTACGCCGGTGCACGGATGCCTGGACGGGACCAGTCGCATCGGGCCGTGCGCCGTCGAGGCTAATCATCTCGTCTCCGTAGTTCGAGGTGTGGTAGTGCATAAGTTCCGCGACCTTCGTGCGGTCGGTGACGTCCTCGTGCACGCCCAGCTTGAAGCGCTTGCCGAACTGCTCGTACAACTTCTTGTAGTCATCCTTCTTCTCGCCGATCTCCGCGAACATTTCGAGGCACTTCTTGGCGAGGTTATTCTTGTTCGCGTGCAGGATCTTGTTCTGCTGCAGCGTCTCACTGGAAATGTTTAGCGGCAGGTCCTCATAGTCAACTACCCCCTTCACGGAGTTGAGCTTCTCTGGCATCAGCTCGTCGGAGTCGTCCATGATTAAGACTCGTTGCACGTACAGTTTGATGTCGTTGCGCTGCTTCTTCGTTTCGAACAGGTCGAACTCCCAGATGTACTGCGCCTCGTCGTTGTTCTTGCTGATCACGCGCACTTTGTCCGATACGAGGTACTCGGAGTCGAAACCGACTCCGAAGTGCCAGATCATGGAGATGATCGCATGCCTCATCTCTGTGTCCTTCTGCCTCCCCCCGCTGTCCGTGTGCTTCATCGCCTCCAGGCCGCCCTCGGCCCGAGAAGTGCCATGACTGCCGTGAGCCAGGACCAGTGAGAGGTGAAGGTGCCGTTGCTGCCTGATTCTCGCTTGGGCCCAGATGGCAGCTGGAGGAGGAGGAGGAGGAGGAGGAGGAGGAGGAGGGGGAGGAGGAGGAGGAGGAGGAGGAGGAGGAGGAGGGGGAGGAGGAGGAGGCGGAGGCGGAGGCGGAGAAGGAGGAGGAGGAGGAGGAGAAGGAGGAGGAGAAGGAGGAAGAGGAGGAGGAAGAGGAGGAGGAGGAAGAGGAGTAGGAGGAGGACCAGTGTAAACCCAAGAGTCATCAACGATGTTGGAATAAACCCTCACCCCAACGGTTCATTTCCAATGAAGGAGGTGCCTCTTTGGAATATGTTTTACAGCGAATGCGCGCCGCGCTAAGGCGTGAGCCACACGTTGAAGAGGAACCGCCCTCAATCCGTAAAACTCTTGCACATTGTTACAACGAATGTGCGCCGCGCTAAGGCGAGAGCCACATGTTGAAAAGGAACCGCCCTCAATCCGTGAAACTCCGGCAACTTGTTATAACGAATTTGTTCCGCGCTAAGGCGAGAGTCACATTTTGAAAACGACCCGCCCTCCATCTGTGAAACTGCTGTCAGTTTTTATGCTTCAAAGTCAAAAATGGTGAGGAAGTCTCAGGCGAAACGCCCGGCCCGCCCTAAAACTGGCCTCGGGGTGCGACAGGGAGAAGTCATTTACAAGGAAAAGGACTGGAGAAGGAGGGGGAGGAGGAGGAGGAGGAGGAGGAGGAGGAGGAGGAGGAGAGGAGGAGGAGGAGGAGGAGGAGGAGCAGGAGGAGGGGGAGGAGAGAGAGGAGGGGAGGAGCAGGAGGAGGAGGAGGAGGAGGAGGGGAGGAGGAGGAGGAGGAGGAGGAGGAGGAGGAGGAGGAGGAGGAGGAGGAGGAGGAGGAGGAGGAGGAGGAGGAGGAGGAGGAGAGGAGGAGGAGGAGGAGGGAGGAGGAGGAGGAGGGGGAGGAGGGAGGAGGAGGAGGAGGAGGAGGAGGAGGAGGAGGAGGAGGAGGAGGAGGAGGAGGAGGAGGAGGGAGGAGGAGGAGGGAGGAGGAGGAGGAGGAGGAGGAGGATGAGAGTTGCGAGCGCCCGAGAGGCCCCCGCGAGGTGTAGGACTTCTCTCATGGCGGCGGGCAGCGAGGGGGTCGCTCCCCGCCGCAGGCGCGCGCGTGCCCGTCACATCGATGGCGACATCGTGGACCGTTTTCTCTCGCCCTCCTCCTCCTCTTCCTCCTCCTCCGCTAGGGCCCTTATCCATCTCCGCGGCAACCCAATCGCGGAACCTCGCCTGTCCTAAACGGTTCGGACTCGAAGGGGCCAATTCTTGCAAGGTGTGTCGAGTCTTCCATGTTCAGCTCAGCAATTGCTCGCAGACCACCACAGCATACAGCAACCACCGCGATCTGAGCTTCTTGCAGTCATCACGGCGCCGAAACGACTCCCCACGATCGGGCCCACGATATTTGGAGATTTGCCCGCTGGAAGAAAGACCAAAGGGCGGCACAACACCCCGATGCCAACTGGAACAAAGGCAACGGGAACACTGGGCACTAACAGCCTGCCGCCCATCCAGGCAAACGGTCGGCCATCCGCCCGCATGACTATGATGGTAACGACGAGGGGGATGCCCAATCGAGGCAAAGGCGAGCGCGATGAAGTTGAAGGCGGCCCCTCTCCCGCGGCGACCACGCCGACTGCCGGCGACCGCAGACGATCGCCGCGATCACATCAACAATTTCATCAGTTTTGCCGTGCCCATGAGGAAGCGCATTACGGTTACCGGGGCTTACTTGGAGAAGCAGCTGGCCGACTCCGAGGTCAAGGATGACTGGACGAATGAGAGCAGCCGCCGCCATTATCAACAACAGCAGCGCCAAGTCATCCGTGCATGGCGGGGGGCACACTGTTGCACTCATAAAGGCCATGATCATAAACAGAAAGTCGATGGGTACCGACCGGCTGAACGCAGGAGCTCGGGGACCGTGCGGGGTACGCACAAATTGTCTACGTACGGTTCATAAGTGCACCGTTGATGTTGGGAGTAATTTCAACGAGGCTCGGCTACCCTGGAACGGGGGTCATGTGCCTCAAGGGAGACCCATGCGCCGCGGCAGCATGCGACGAGACCTATATGCACCATCGGACCAGCCAACAAGCGAAAACTTGTTCAGTGCCGCGCCGAACGCGCCCAGCCATGATTAGGGAAACAGAAGAAGGCTAATTAAGACATCGGCGCCATCATTCAGAGCTTCGGGAGTACCAGCCCATGGCTTGCTTCGGAATCGAAGGACAACCGGCAAGACGTACAGTTAGCCAAGGATGAAACGGCGGAATATCCAATGAGTTCGAGGACGCATAAGAGACGGTCATAGACGGAGAACATGCAGCCTGTCTGAGGGATACCGTCTACGAGGAGGAGATGGTCAAAGTGCAGGGCAATTTCTAGAAGAACGCAGACGGGTTTGACAGTTTCCACCAGGGAGACTGGTCATTCGAGTGCAGTGCAGGAGTAGCATCGCGAAGGGAAGACCTGCTGCGCGAGGAAGCAACGTTGCCCACCTCATTGTCAACTTAGCTACCTGCAGCGAGCACTGTCAACATTACCTGGGGCAGGATATTCACCAACCGCAGTATAATATTGCAACAACGCGCCATCATAAGGAGGACATCGAAGTGAAGCCAATGTAGGCGAAGCAGCAGCATCTGAAAGGAGCAAGCACATCATTAACTGGAGTGTGCCCAATGACGTGCCGACATCGTCCACAGTTCTTATGGATGGGAGAAGTGGAAGGCGGAAGGGCTGAATAATGTTGAGGTTTTCCTACAGCGCGGTTTATAGTACGTTGACGATGTGGGTTGGGAATGTCGAGTGTGGAGCGCGAGCGCGTGTTGCTTAGACAATATCGTGTTCAAAGGAACAACAGTTGGCAGTGCGTTGATGCCCTCGTTCCCTCATTATTCACATCTGTTTCTCCGCGCGATGCCAGGTGCGCGTGGTAAGTTGTTTTCCGATGGTGTCTTCAGTGGCAAAACTGGTGCATGTGTAGTCCAGATCTTCGTCTGTAGACAGCGGGGCCGTCCAATGCCGATCAGTTGGGTACCTTACGAGTGCGTTCATAACGCACATCGGGTTATCCGAATTCGGACAGCAGAGTCGCCCACAACGGCAGAAACATCGCAGGGCGCCAGCAACTTGGAAGAAACCGTTTGAGGAGGAGAAGGAGGAGGAGGAGGAGGAGGAGGAGGAGGACGAGAGGAGCAGGAGGATGACGAGGAGGAGGAGGAGGAGGAGGAGGAGGAGGAGGAGGAGGAGGAGGAGGCAGGGATGGGGGAGGGATGGGGGAGGGAGTGAGGAGGAGGGAGTGAGGGGGCAGGAGGAGGGTGGGAGAGAGGCGGTCCTCCCGTGCCGTGCAGGCTGCTCCGAGGGAGGAGGCGGCGCCCGTCGTCCAGCGGCGGGCCACGGAGCCGTTCGCCCCAGGCTTCCGCGAGCGCGTGGGCATCAAACGAGAGCGCGACCCATCACGTCCCGGCCTTTCCCGCGTCCCTCTCTGAAAATCGTGGCCCTCCCCCTCTTTCCCCACGTCATGGGCGGTGTTTTGGTTTCCCGCGTCTTGGGCAGGGTTCTTGTTTTCCCAGGGGCCCCCTTCCCTTTCCTTCCCCCCGTTCGTCTCTTCCCTTTCCACTCCTCTTCTAGTCATCCTCTTGCGCCCAGTTTCGTGCCTTCCTTTTCCACCAGTCCCACCAGTGCTGTCTGACCCTCCTGGGAGACCCCGCCAAACCGTGGCAGGCATCGGAACACATTGTTATGTACCAGGTGTCGTGCCCGTCCCCCCCGCCAGTTCCACTAGTACCGTCTGACCTTCTAGGGAGGCCTCCCCAGGCCGCGGCAGGCATCGGAACATGTCGTTGTTATTGACGCTTCGCGGGTCCCCACCTGCCCATCTAGGAACGAGCCCAGGTGGGAGCGTGGCATGATCTGGAGAGCTCGGGGAGCCTCCGTGGACCAAAGGCTTCTTGGATGCCTCTGGCAGTTTATTCGGATGTCTCTCGGGGTCTCTTGGAGGGAGCGTCTCGGAGGCCTATTGGCGGCTCTTGGGGCCTTGTGGAGTGGTCTCGGGGCCTTTTGGATGCCCCTTTGGGACGTTTTCGGTGCCTTTCGGCGGTCTTCGCAGTCTCTTGGGGCGTACTGGGGGCTTCTTGGGGCGTATTGGGGTCTCTTGGGGGCCTCTTGGGAGCCTCTTCGGGGCTCTTGGCATCATTTCGAGGGCTTTTTTGGCACCGTCTTGGGGCCACCTGGAAGGCTGCCGATCAGAGAAGTTTCCACAGAATTGCCCGCAAACCTACGACAAACCACTGCTTCCTTTCCATCTGCTGCCATCTTGGGTGCACTGACCGCTCCCCCGCCCACGTCCAGACCGAAGGAGGGAGGGGGTGGTCGGGGAGGGACGAAGCCACCCCAAGCCGCAAGCCTTGTCGCTCACTCCCCCGCGCCCTCCCAACACGTAGGCAACATCCGTGCTTGTGGCCCCGATGCCACTGAGTTAATACGTCCCGTCGGAAGCGCAGAGCCGAGCATTCATTCAGAAGGGTGGAACCCGAAGCACCAGCACCAATACACACATCGTTTTTCCATGAACGCTTGCGCTGACAGAATGCGGGACCAGTCTTCTTGCTCGTGGTGTTTTCGGGCTTACGTTTTAGGTTGTTGCTCATGGGACTGCGAGACTGGAGGCTTCAGTTTGGTTTTGCTTTGTTTTTCATTGGTTTTCCGGGCTTCGGAGACGCTTGGAAATTTCTGGAAGGTCCCGGGGAATTTCGGAGCATTCGGTGATGTCACGCGTTTGGTTGCCCCCGAGTGGGCCAGCAGATTCCAGAGGGACCCCCTGAAAAGATGGCACAATGGCCCATTCACATGTTGGTGCCGATGCCGGGCGCCGCAATGCAAAATAGTCGCGGAGCGCTCGCGCATGAACCAGTTTTTGCGACACCGTTTTGTTGAATTGTGCGTTGGCAGGGGTGGTGGGTCTGCGCAGAGCGGACATTTTGGGGGCACCGCCGCCGTCCCTGTCGAGACCAACGCGAACTGATCGCTGGGCGCCCGCGCACGGTGCCTATTTTGCCGCGACCTGTGTTTCGCATGGTTCACCACCCACCAAACCACCCCTAACCCAACCCGAAGGCTCGAATTTACAGTCGATTTCCAGTGTGGGGGGGGGGTCGGGAAACATAGAAAAAACACACGTGGAACCCTTACCCCCCCAACCCGAAATTCGGGTCTTCGGGTTGGGTTGGGGTGGTCTGGTAGGTAGTCAATGGTGTGTGTTGGCAGGGATGGCATGCCTGCACAGAGCGGACAAGATGAGAGAGCACCCCCGCCGTGCCTGTCGGTGCCTGTGCAGAGTGCTCACGGGGTGCCCGCGCACTCGTCCAGATCTTGACGCAATGTGTACAGGGCAGTTTTTAATACATGCTCCGCGTGCGGATCATGTATTAAACATGCAGGGATTTAGCACTAAAAACAACGAGTACATGCATTCATACATTAATCATGTATTAGGCATCCTATATTTTTAAAAATCCCATGTTTTCGGCGGATGTAGTTTGTACTGTCGGCGCGGATTAGTAGGTCGACCCCCCAAATCAAGGGTAACCTTGTGTCCTGTGTCTCGCGACCCATGCCTCATGCATTCCTATGGCACTGTGGCCCTCGGAAGGGTCTTTTGTCCTCGCGCGTGTCCTGTCCAATGAAGTCCGGCTGTATTGTTTTTGATGGGGATGGCGGGGGAGTGCCCGCATTGACCCAGGCTTGTCGCTGGTCGGGGGTTAGGGACGGGGGGCGCAGAGATCAGGAACAGTGATCAAGGCCAGACGCAAACCATTTCGGCTCACTCCCGCCCGCCCTCCCAGCACATGGGTAGCACGGGAGTCTCAGCATGTCGCCTGGGAGCGCCACGCATGAAAGGGTGCGTCACGGGTCCAGGCCTCACCAGGCACAGTGGACGCCCAGGCGTGCCAGGCGCGCCAGGTGCGCCGCGCGCTCCGCGCGTGCTCAGTGTGCCACTTGCTCCTGCCGCGCCAGATCCCCCACGCGCGCGGCGCGCGTAGAGTGCCAGATGCGCCAGTGAACTGCCGTCGTCGGATGGACAGCGACGGGGAACCAGTCCGGACTCCAGGTGCTCGTGGCCCCGACCCCAGGACGTTCATGCGCTTGGCTTCCCCTGCAGCGAAGTGCCGAGCATTCTCTGAGGAGGTTGGCTGCTCGAGGGAGCGCAGGGCACTGGACCGACGGACAAGGTGAAAAACATCTTGAGGAACCGTGGGAGACATGAGCGGCCAGACAAAGAGTGCCCCCCTGGAAGAGTACAAAGCGGACGTCGTCAGCAACCAACGCGATCGCGGGGTGCCCTCGCAGGATCCAGGTGTCGTCGCAAAGGCATGGCCGGCCTGCCCGCAGCAAGCAGTATGCTCGCACCCCCCGACGTCCACGTCCAAGACCTCTGCGACGTGGTCGCGGGGCGCCCGAGCATGCCCCAGGGGCAACGTGCATGTTGTATGGTCTTTTTCGGGGCTGGACAGAACCCCCAATAGTGACACGTCGATTAGTGAATTGTCCGTTTTCGGTTCTCGAGAGGGCGCCGCGGCCGTTATTTTCCAGGCTTGCGCCCGCCAGGTTTGGCCCGAGGTCGTTTTCACTAAACCACGTTTTACTAAAGGGAGGTCTGTCCATCCCCGACTTTTGAGAAGGATGGTTGCGGGGGGGGGCCCGGCGCGAGCCACCTCGCTCATTCTCGGGGCCCAAGAGACGGGGGTCAGTGCAGACGGGGGTCAGCCAGGGCGCCGGATCCTGCAGGATCCTGCGGAGACCCCCTCTGGCTGACCCGGGTTAGCGAGCCGCTCGCGGCCGCGAGGCGGCCGCGCATATTGGTTGACCCGGGTTAGCGAAGATTTGCGTTGCATTTTTTTTCCCTGCATTGCAGTTTTTGGTTTCCCGTTGACCCGGGTCTGGATTGACCCGGGTCAAAAGATCCCCGACACTCCCACCCGCCCTCCCGCTATATAAGTAACGCCTTAGTCTCAGAATAGGCAGGGGCCGCCATCGACAACCATCTGGAAACCAAGGCAGACGCCAGCCAGGTGCGCGAAACCAGCGAGGTACGCCGCACATGCCAGGTGCGTCACGCGCACCAGGTGCGGCACGTTGGGCAATATGGCGAACTTCCCTCAATCCTTGCCAAACACTTATGCGAAATGACGGCGGGTGTGCGAGCATTGTATATCTGACGGTACTTGTACATTGATCTCGGAGCCTCAGACTCGCAGAATTGGCCGCATCTTGTTGTCCCGCAACTGTCTTCGCTCAAGTTAATTTGTGGAGTGGCCAGCGCTCCAGAGTCCCTCTCAGGCGCTGTGCATGTGGGGCTGGCTCGCGACTGTGGCTGCGGGTCTGACGGAGAGCTGCCTGGCGAGCGCCCGCAGTGTGCCGAGCACCGCTGCCCCGACTGGCATTGCGATCGGTGCCCTTCAGTCCCAGCAGGCCCGACGTGCCCAGGCGCGCCCGCTGATCGGCAAGACGCTACTGAGGTGTGACCGCAACTGGGGCTGCCGTGGAGCTGGGCCGAGGCGCCGCTCGGCGAGGGTGTCCTGGCTGGGGCGTGCGGCGCGGGGGCGATCGGGGGCCTGGTTGGGGGCCTTGGTCGCGGCTGCCGTAGTGAGGGCAGCCGCAGCTCTGGCGGGGACGCCCGAGGCGGGGAGCCTCGCGTGGGTGTACGTGCTCTGCGTAGTGGAGGGCGAGCTGTGGCACCAAGGGCGGCCAGTCAGGAGCATAAGGGCGTGCGCGGGGACTAACTACATCCTCGCACCCAACAGGTACTGCTACGCGGAGAAGGGTGACCTGGAGGAGGTGAGCCTCTCGGCGGTGCGGTCCGCAGGGGCACGACGGCCCCCACCCCCGGGGCTGGCGCAAGGGAGCGTGTGCAGGTTCGGGGCGGCGCCGACCCAGCAGGAGATGGACGACGCCTACAACCAGTCGGAGGGGCTTGAGCGGGCGGAGCATCGTGGGCGGGAGGCGGCGGCAGGCCGCGACCCGGCGGCGATCCCGCCAGGGGGCCACCTCGAGTGGTTTCCTGTCCAGCCAGCGGCGGCGGCAAGGGGGGCAGGGCCTCCCGAAGGCGCGGCGGCGGCGGGGGGCTTCGCGGCTGGGGGAGGGGGCGTGGCATTGGCGATTGGGGGGCCTCGGCAATCTGGTGTACCTGTTGGAGGCGGGGCTGCAGGCGGCGGCGGCGGCGAAGGAGACGGCCGCGGAGACCCGACCCTGGAGTGGGTGGCGGTGGCGACGCGTGGGCAGTACCGAAGAGGAGATGAGGTGCTGCTCCCAGCGGCCGCGGTGACCTTGGGCGACGTCGCGCTGGCGCCGACGGGCGCCGGCGGGAGCTCGTGCCTGCGACGGCTTCGAGGCGCCAGGACGTGATGAGCTGGATCGGGTCGGAGGCGGCTGGAGACGCGCGGTCCTTGAACGTGGACCTGAGCGGAGGTGGCCGGGGGAGGGCCCCGTGGCGCGACGTGGTGAGGAAGTGGAGCGTCGTTGACTTCGCCGACTGGCCGATGGTCGGCCCGAGGACGACCGAGTGGTGTGTGATGGTCTTGAACCGACGAGGAGGAGGACGGTCGGGCTACCACAGGTACTTCACGGTGCTGCTCGGCGTTGAGACGGGCAGCTGGGGTGTGGACACGCACCGCGAGTGCCTCATGTCGAAGGAGGAGGCAGGGACTCGCGACCACCTGGAGCTGTGCAACCTTGCTAGCTTCGAAGTCCTCGTGTGCCAGGCCCAGCTGGTGGAGTGCGCGTGCGAGCACGAGAGGGAGGTAAACATCATGAAGCAGGTGAGGGAGGCGCGAGAGGAGCGCTGGTCCTTCACCAACAACAAGCAGAAGGATGGGGAGTGATCGGGCAGGAGTTCCTGCCCAATGGCCCTGGCCGTCGGCGACAGCTGAAGGCGGCGGTGGCGGATGCCATCCTCCACAGTTTTGCAGCAATCCTCGTGGGCGCCGAGTTGCTCGCGAGCTTCTTCCGTTGCCCCTGCCCGAGGGGCAGGCGGGGCTGGCAGCCCTGGTTCGTCGTCCTGGAGGAGGGGAAGAGTTTAAGCCATGCAGTCCGCCGGCGGGGACTTCGGGCGCGTCATCGTGAGGATGGAGTGCGGGGCCAAGGAGGACCTCGGCAGCACCAATTTGCGGCCGAGCGCGGCCCAGCAGTCCTGCTTGGCGCGCATCGAGCAAGCCCACCGCGAGCTCGGATCGCCGCCAGCTGACTTGCACGGGCAGGGGGCCCTGGAGGAGCTCCTGTCGAAGCAGAGCTACGGCGGCGTTGCTGGAACTGTTTTCCCCCTCGAGGTGGAGCGGGTAGCCTTGCCCAGTCTCCAGCGTCGGCCCGCGCGCATCCAGGATGTCGGGGGCTCGGCGGGCGTGAAGGTTCTCGAGGCTCTCAAGAGTTTGGTTCGGGCGCCCGAGGGTGGGGCGGCTGAGGAGGAGCGTCGGCAGTTGCGCCGTGCCTACAACGACCCGGTCGTGCGTCAGAAGCCAAAGGAGTATGCGATGCTCCTTAGAAGGTTGCACGAGCGGGGGATCATCGAGCACAGGCGCAGCTTCAAGAAAAGCGTTGGCACCTTTCGTGTGTGGAAGAAGAGAGGGGAAAAACGTCTTATCCTGGATTGCGGAGTTTGCAATTGCTGGTTCAAAGACGCCCCGGGAGTGAGCCTGGCGACAGGCGACAGTTTTGGGCGGCTTGAAGTCGTGGGGGCCGAGCCTGTGTACGTGTCGGGCGTGGACATCGAGGTGGCCTTCTACTCGGTTGGCCTGCCCGAGGAGCTGCGCGAGTACTTCGGGATGGAGCCCGTGTGCGCTGGGGCTGTCGGAGTTCGGTGGCTTGAAGGCGAACGCGTGCGTCTTGGAGTAGGGGTCGTGCCGGTGCTGAGCGTGTTGCCCGTGGGCTTCAAGGGGGCGCTGTACGTCTGCCAGGCGCTCCACGAGGCGGTGGCCGAGAGGGCCACCGGCGTGGACGCGGACAACAGATTGGTGGACGGGCGGCCTGCCCCCGCAGTGGCTCAGGGCTGCGTCCACACCGAGTACGTGGACAACTTCGTGGCGCTCGGGGCGGATGGGGAGGAGGGCCGCCGGCTGGCCACTGAGGTTGGCGCCGCTCTCGAAGCCGACGGGCTTGGCGTGCGCCCAGTGACTTGTAGCCGAGGCGGAGATGCGCTCGGCTGGCACTTTGACGAGCTGCGGCCTGCGGCGGGGGTGGCCCCGCGTACGGCCTGGCGGCTCATCCTCGGCCTGCGGGAGATACTGCGCAGGGGGCGAGCGAGTGGTTCCCATCTGGGAAGCATCGTTGGTCATATCACCTTTCATGTCCTATTGCGACGTCCCATCCTGTCGGTCTTGCACACCGTGTATGCCTTCATCGATCGCCATCTTGTCCGAGTGACACCTCTATGGGATTCTGTTAGAGAAGAGCTGGAGTGGGTGAGTCATCTGGTGCCCCTGGCCTCTAGGGAGCTCAACATGACGTGGGGCCCCGAGTTGACGGTGCTCGACGCGAGCGAGTAGGGCTACGGGGTTATGGAACGACGATGCGACACGGGTGCGATCAGATATGCGGGACGGTATTCCGATAGGTGGAGGTTTACGAAGTGCGGGAAGCAACGGGTGCGCCCACGAGATGATGAGGGAGTCTGGGGACAAGAGCAAGGAGATCTTCGTGGGGTGCCTGCGGTGCCCAGGTCCGACTGGGGAGGCTGCTGGAGGCGAGTGATGAGTAGACCCTGGAGCGTCTCGGGCGACCAGGTGATCTTGGAGGCTCGGGCTGGAGTTTGGGCTCTGCGTCGTATTCTACGGGGCAGCAAAGCCGTGGGTAGTCGACATCTTGTGCTCAGTGATGCCATGGCCGTTGTGCTCGGGATCACTGCGGGTCGGAGCTCGAGTCGGGCGATGGCAGTGGGCCGCCTTGTGTCTGGCCAGCTTCGCCGTGGTGCACGTGCGCCGGATCTCCTCCGAGAGGAACGCTGCTGACGGGTCCTCGCGGGGCTCAGAGGAGCGCAGCGCCGCTGCCTGTCGGGAGGCTCAGCAGCGGCCCGAGCGCGCGGCAACGCGGAGGACTGGCGGCTGTGCCGACGCCTGCGGCTTCGAGCTCGTGAACCCCGTCACTGGAGGCTTCGTCCGAGGCGGTGGAGGCGACCCCTTTGTCCTCGGGCCGCCGCCTGGGCTCGAGCTTCTCAAGGCACCGTGCCTTGATAAAGAAGCGAGCGAGCCAGGCGCGGCGGCGGGCGAGACGGCTGCGGCGGCGGGCCAGTGCCCGCTCGCCGGGAAGCGCGGGCGCGGCAGCCCGCCCTCGCGCCGGTGCCAGCCGCGGGGCCGCCGCCGCCGGGCGGCGGCAGGAGCTGACGCGACTGGAGCGGGGTGTGCCGCTCGGGTCTCGCTCGCCGGTGGCGCTGGAGGTCGAGGCTGCGGGCCCTCTCACGCAGAGGGGCTACCGCGACCAGTTCAGCTGTTTCGTGCGTTGGGCCTCCCGAAGGGGGGCGAGTCTGGCGGCCCCGGCGGGCGTCGACGGCGCGCTGGTGGTGGCGCTTGACGCGCAGTTCTTCGAGGGCGAGCCGCGGTGGCCTGGGGCGGCCGCTCTGGAGAAGGAGATGCTGGCGCGGGCGCGGCGAGCGGCGGCAGGGGCGACGCTCGTGGCCTCCTGGCTGCTGCTGTGGCCGGCGGGGGCGCCGAGGCTGGCAGGTGGCTGGGCAGTGGTGCCGGTGGGGGCGCTGGGCGCTTGCATGGTGTACGGCGACCCCGAGTTCGTGCTGGTGGTGCCGCAGCTGGGGAGCTTGCAGAGGACCGTGGCAGAGGGAAGGCCCCCCTTCCCGGTGCGCCCTGCCCAGCGGCTGGGGGCCCTGCAGCCCGCCGCAAGGCGATTGTTCGCCAGCCTCGTCGGCTCCACAGGGCACCTGCTGAGGCAAGGCATGGCGTCGCACGAGGCACCGACCGAGTTCCGCAGCGCCTGGGGCCACAAGCGCCGAAGCAGGCGGCGCGGCCTGCAATCGGCCAAGCGGCGCAGGAAGGTCGGGCGCGAGAACCACGTGCTGAGGCCGCGGACGCCCGAGGAGCTGAGCGCCGCGCTGGAGGCCGAGCGCGCGCTTGGCGTGCCCCTCTCGTGGACATGCCGCAACTAGCGGGCAGAGACGGCTTTGCACTGGAGATGTTCTCTGGGGGCGGGAGGTTCAGCCGCTGCTGGAGGCAGCGGCCGCCGCGGGGCCTGCCGATCTTCGAGGTTGACATCAGCCGCCGCTGCTCCCATGACCTCAGCAAGCGTTCCGCCCAGCGTCGCATCCGGGGCTGGATCCGCTCAGGCTGCTGCCGTGCGGTGTGGCTCGGGACGCCGCGCGCGACCTTCTCCAGGGCGCGCGACTCTGGCGCCGGGCCGCCGCGGCTGAGGTCGGACGACCTGCCCCTGGGTCTCCCAGGGCTCTCAGAGGCCGACCAAGTGAAGGTAGAGGTGGCAAATGGGCTGTGCCGTTTTTCAGCAAAAGTTGTAGCCTGTTGCCTGTCGCGCGGCGTGCCAGCAGTACTTGAGAACCCAGCCACGTCTCGCCTGTGGCTTACGCCTTTCATTTCATCGATCAGGGCTCGCAGGGGGGTCAGAGAAGCCGCCGCGGACTTCTGCGTGGACGGAATGCCGTGGCGGAAGAGGACTCGGCTTCTGCATGTGCATATTGATCTTCTCCCTGCCGCGCGAGTGTGTCACAGTGCTCAGAATCAACGCAAGCGCGATCGCACTGGCCAGAAGCATGTGGCGCTGCATGGCAAGGGGCCCGATGGGAAGTGGCTCGCCCAAGACGGCAGAGCACTGCCCGCGCTCGCTGTGCAAGCGCCTGGTCAGTCAGTTTCGTGCATCAATGATTGCCAGCGAGGTGAATTGTCTCAGGAGTTCTGTAGATTTAACGGCGGGCCATGTTTAGACTTTGGTATGGTCTCAGCTTGGAGTTGACAGAGTGTTCGAATGCATTCCCTTGTCTTGGTGCGCTCGTAGTCCAGCTCCAGCTGTGGGTAGCCTTCCCGCTCGCGCACATATTGCCCTCTCAGAGGGGTGGCCATGACGCGAGGAAAGAGTGCTAGAGATCTGACGGTACTTGTACATTGATCTCGGAGCCTCAGACTCGCAGAATTGGCCGCATTTTCTTGTCCCGCAACTGCTTTCGCTCAAGTTCCCTCCCTGGTATTGTAAGCTGACGCTTTCCGCTGCTCTTAACCACCCGCCCTTAGCTTCGACTCGACAGTGGGAGTTGACAGAGTGTTCGAATGCATTCCCTTGTCTTGGTGCGCTCGTAGTCCAGCTCCAGCTGTGGGTAGCCTTCCCGCTCGCACACAGATTGCCCTCTCAGAGGGGTGGCCATGGCGCGAGGAAAGAGTGCTATATATATATATATGTTGTGTGTGTGTTTGTCCGTAGCTTCTGGCTCAAGCCGTCTCCTGGGGGTGTCCCTCCCGCCGGGGTCAGGGCTCGTGGGCCAGTGCTTCCGTGCGCGCGCTAGCTCCCGTACGTGGCTGCCGGGTCAGGAGCTTGCGTTTCAGCGTCCACCAAGCAGTGAGGGCTGCATGGGGGACGATGAGGAAGGTGCTGGAAGTGCAGGCGACAGAGGCCGAGACAGCTCATTCTCCCAGGCTGGAGATGGATTTCGAGATGACGGATGCGCGCCTCCTTTTGATGGTTCTTCCTTCTTATTGGAGGGACGTCCTAACAGCGAAGCTGATGCAAAAGCGGACCCATCGTCGGAAGATCAGCCCCTAACCGATATGACTCGCTTCGAACGGCAACGTGTGTTTGACGGCGGCTTCTGCGACATGCAATGTGCGATGCGTGCTCCTCGCGCCATGGTGGGCGCGCGCCGCGCTATCACCCGCGCCGCCTTGAAGCTGTACCCCGCCCGTAATGAAGATTGGATTTGTGTGGGCGTGGCGGAGGAAGGCGACGTGGCTGTTGCGCGGGAGTGCGGGGTCTGTCACGGCCCCAATGCCCGCGAAAAAGGCCCAGTATCAGGAGCAATGGCAGGGGCGAGTGCGTGGTGCTAGACGTCATCGTTATTATGATAGCAGAACCGATGGCCTCTGCCTCCCATGGCTCCTGTCCTTGAGGCAGGAACGCGACGATGTTCCACAGGCCGATGGCGGCGCGCCACCCATGCCAGATGGTGCGGACCTTCCAAGCATCTGGGAATACATCTAGCAGCATACTAACACCCAGTTGGCGCTACAACTGTGCGTGGATGCGACTGCACTCGGAGTCCCTGTCATGCGGGTGGTACGTGCGCGATGCCCACTGCTGCTCGCGTTCTGCGAAGAGCGTCCTACGGAAGCTCACTGGCACGTGCAATAAGAAATTGAAAGGGTCGTCTTGGGCATCAAAAGCTATCGTGCGCAGCTGCGAATCCAGACGCCCCCCCCGATGCCGACGCACGATCAGGGTGCGCTCCCATCGCGCGTGCCTCATCCTTTCGTGGCGCGCCCAGAGGTCTTTGGGATCGGTCTGGACCGGCAGTCGCCTGAGTCACCCAGGGTCGATCATGGGCGGGCGCCGCTCACATGGATACGGGCATGACAGAGATACCAGCGTCGAGTACTGCGCCTTGCCAGTTCCGCGTCGTCGATGAGACGCAGGAGATTGCGTTACTGCGGGGCATTGCGAATTTTGGCAACTACGCTAGTTGCGGCCGTTGGTTACACAACTTCTGACCGAGCCCAGCGCCTCGCGCAGAGCTTTGCTGTTTTCTGCGCGCGTCTCACTGGGCCCCAAGCGACCCGCGAGATCAGTTGGGCCCCGGCGGCGCTCTGGGCGCCTGAGCTTCTGGACGCATGACTCACGGGGTCCGCGGGTCAGGATCGGCCAGGGCGGCAACGGCTCACCGAACTGCCTCATCGAGACGTGGCCAGCGCGAGGTCTCTGCGCGACGGGGCATCGGTTGGCAACGACGCGCCAGACAAACTCGCGTTCCTACGACGACAGGTGGGGGGCCCACTTGGCGAAGCGGCCGCCGACGGCCTGCTCCGGCGCGCGCAGGCTGTCGGACGCACCCTTGCAAGGGTGCAGCTCACTCTGGCCAACTAGGAGTTTGACGCCCTGTTGTATATCATTGGGTGGCCACATCCGATGCCCCACGGCTGACAGACAACGGGGGCGGAACGCGTTCGAAGTGATCATTCAAGCATTTCGGCTTCAGTTCCAATTTCCACCCATAGGCAGATGCGCCCAACGCTCCGCGCGAACGGAACTTCCAGACATGTCGGGTCTGAGCCTGACGGGGGGCGCCGCGCGCGTTGAGGAAGCTTATTGGGAAGGGGGCCCATCTCAGCCTAAAACAAGACCCCTGCGAGGAGGGCGAAGGCGTCGGCGAGCCATCGTCGGCCGCGCCCCCCTCGGTGCCCACCTGCCCTCGCGCGTCCACGACAGGGGGCTCCAGGGCGGCATGCGCTCGCAGCACGTGTTTTCCTCGGGCCAGTCGCGGCGCCCTCCGGGCCTCCAACTGACCATTCCACGCGCTGCGGGCTCCGGCTGCGCGGGCGGCGGCGGGGCCCGGTCGGGCGGCGCCGCGCGCCTAGCGCGGCGGCTGGGGCGCCGGTGTTCTTGCGCCCCCGCTTGTGGTCGGCGCTTCCTTGCGGGGCCACGTGCGAACTCTGCCCCTGCCCCCCGCGATTTCTGAGGGGGGGGGGGGGGTTCACTTCGCTCGGGAGCTCCCCCACGAAGTGAACCCCGCCCTCCCCTTCAGAAATCGTGGGGGGTAGGGGTAGGGTTCGCATGTGGCCCTCTACAATCTCCACAAGCACCGCCTGTGGTGGCGCTTCTGTACATTCGTCAGGCTGGCCGGCGACGGCCCTGCCGCGTTCTTTTGCTGCTTCCGCCCTGGCGCGGGGCGCGGGCCTCTGCGTGGCTGCGGCCTATTGCGTCGTCGCTTCCCGGCGCCGCGCGCATGGGCGTGCGCGGCCGCGCCCGGGGCTGCCGTTCGCGGTTCCAGCCGGCTTTTCAGCTGCTTGGCAGCTCGTTGCCGGTAGCGTTCTCTGCGGTGGTTCGTCGGCCCCCCACCCGCGCGCTGTCCGCAGCGGTGGTCGCATCGCATCGCGTCTGTGGGGGTCGCGGGGTTTTCTCGGCTCGCCGTCGTCGGTCTGTCGCGGGTCGTCCGTGTCGTGGGGTCTTCCGTCTCGTGGCTCCTGTCTTGCCCTTGCGTTCGCTGCTTCTTCTTTTTTTTCCCCTTCTCTCCTTCTGGATCGTCCCCGCCGCGGTGGTCTGTCTCAGTCTGAGCGTGTGCGTCTTCCTTTGGCGGGTTCGCATTGCTTCGTCTCCTTTTTTAGTTTGTCGCCTTTTGGTCGGAGTAGTGCGACCTCTGCGGTGACGCGTGCTTTTGTTTCTGCCTAAATGGTGCCCCATCAATAGGTTTTGCTATCGCCTGTTTTCATGCTAGCTCTGCGCGGCTTTGATTGCGGCTGGGTTTGCTGTTTTTCATGCCGTCGTCTGCGCTGCGCGTTGGCCGTGCTCGCGCGTGTTCACCACCCATGTGTGCGCCGCCGCGATTCGCGGTCCATGATCGCAGTCGCCCGCGTTCAGCTCTCTTTGTTGTCCAAGGCTAAGCCAGCTTCGGCCGCGTGATTACTTTTTCACGCCGACAGATTGCCTTTTGTTGCACGGTCGCTTTACGTGGTTCTTGCTGCTGCAAGGTCAGTGGCGTTGCTTTTTT